TCCATGTCCCCCTCCGTTGTCCCTCGCCCCATCCCGCGCTCCCCTCCCGTGCATCTCTGCCTGCTCCATCCCTGCTCCCCGCCGCACAGCCCCCCCAGCTCTCCCCCCGCCCCTCCCTGCCAGGGGTTTTGTCGCTCCCGCGCTACATAAATAAATAACGTGTCCTTCGTTAGATGCCACTGCCTAATTAAAGCTGTACATCAGTGGAACAACTTGCAGATGCGGCATCCTCTGTCCAAGCCGGTTTCATCACTCCTCATAGCTCTGCCTGCAGAAAAACCTTCCCCCAAATTCCCTGGTCTCGGCTCCTTGTGATAGCATCTCTCTGGCGTCACTGCGAGAGCTTTCTGGCACGCTCCAGCTCCTTCCCACCCCTTTCCGCTCGCTTTCCAGCCCCAGCTCTACCCACTTTCTCTTGAACAGCCACAGCGAGGATGGTGTGAAAGGAACTGGGTCTGTCCCATGCAAATGTCATCCCCGAAAAGCTGCGTCAGGGTCTGGGGTGCGTTTTTCGACCCCATCCAGAAAGAACTGGGACATGATGAAGCCCAGCCGGGGGTGAGGAGCATCCCTGGTGAGAGGATGGACTTGACGCACGCCGGACACTTTGAGGCGCTTGTTTTCTTCGTGGCAGCAAGTGCAGCAGCTCTTTTTAGCGCAGGGGTGTTGTACAGCATGAATAATTCACCTAATGGAGGACGATGCCCGTTGCGTGCGCGGCGGGAGCCGGGGATGCTCAGCACCTGCAGGCACGCGAGGATTTTGCTGCCCGGGGCTGTGTTGCCGCAGGCGGGAGGGTGCAGAGCTGGATCAGACCCCCGGTGCTGAGCCCCCCTGGGCTTGTGTCTGCTCCCCACCACGGGGGATGCCCCGAGGCTTTGGGGGCGGTGGGACGGGAGGGATGCTGCATTCGGCATTACGCTTCCCCACTTAGTGGGTAAATAACCTTCATGAAGCCGGGAAGGTGGAAATCGGCCGGGGGAGGCTCTGATTAATCACCCGCCCCTGCCACTTCATTTCCTTGTTCTTCATTGGGTTTATTAAAACAAATTGCAGCTGCCCAGTTCCCCTGGACTGCCGCGGCCCCGTGGCAGTCGCCCCCCACCTCAGTCCCCCTGGGCA